ACTCCAATTTTTTTGCACAAGAATAATAGAGCTTCATTTTTGTAGTGGACAACTTTTTAGGATCAATTTTGGTTTTTGAGATATGCGCCTTTAAAGGAATACTGCGTTTCCAGGTTACGGTAGATTTACGGCCACGGCCACCGGCGTTTCTCTTCCGCATCTTTCATATTTTACACTTGAATTTTGTGGAAGCTCGAACGTTTTTTTCCTATTTTTCTCACGACAAGTTGTCTATGTTTGCTAGCTTGTTACTTTGAAAAACAAGGATATACTCGTTTTGAATTCTTATTGACTGAGCAATGATCTCTTTCAAAAAATGGGAATGAATCAGTCTCCTCGTTCGAAGTGAGTGGACAATAAGTGTCCGATTGCACCGAACTATTTGAGAGCTCTTTTTTGTCGCTGAGCAAAAGTTCCGAAAAAGTTAAACAAACGAGTAGTGACCTCAAACATAACGATCTCATTCATTTTGTTCTTTTTCTTTTCGGTCAGTTTTGGTGGTGTATTTCCGTGCGGAAGACGAGGCTAATCTTACGGACACGCGGAAGGATTCAAAAAAGAAGAGGAAGAAGGATCCGTTAGTATAAAACCATCATGTGAGCAGGAAGAAGGAGAAGAAGAAGCTTCGAGAAAGAAAATTAACAGTTATGCGACAATTGTCCTCCACTTTCGTTTTTGTTTCGATTTCACTGTTTTCTGCGGCTTGGGCGGCTTCAGTTGTGACAAAAAAAGAGGTGAGTGAGAAGGTTTGGGTTACGGTAGGCTACTGTAGTTACTGGTTTGAATTTTAGACTTCAAGATTACTGTAGTTTTGTATAAGGCTTTTGTAGAGTATAAAGGTTCCGGTAGGAATGCTTATTGTTACTGTGGACTATTTCATCTGGGATTTTCAGAGAATTTTTAGATTTTTAGCATTGAATTCATTGATTTTTTCATTTTTTGATTTTTATATCTTCTTCGGATTTTTGTGTTTTTTTCCAAAAATCGAAACTTATAAAAAGTTTGAATTTGGAAATTTATGATTTTTCAGATTTTTTTTTTCGAATTTTCTGATTTTTTTTTGAAAATTTTCCGATTTTGAAAAAGAAAGTTCTAAAACCGCGCTTTTTCAAATTTTCTTGATTTTATAGTTTTTTCAATTTCATTTGATACTGTAGGATACTGTAGGACTACTGTAGTATACTTTGTTGCGAATTTTTGGGTTTTTTTCTAAAATTTTTAAAGCTTTGGACTTTCTTATTTTTTAAATTGATCTCGAAGCTTTCGAATTTTCTGAGTTTGAATTTTTTAAATTTCGAAAAAAAATTTGGTTTTCGAATTTTTAAGCTTTTATATAACGGTTTTCTGAAGGAATTTTTTAGTTTAGAAAGATGATTTTCAAATTCAAAACTTTCCGAACATGATTACTGTAGGCATACTGTACCCTCCAATTCCAGGTAGTCGACAAATCAACAGCCGAATTCGAAGACACTTTAAACGATGCGGATTTCGAAAGTAATTTACATCAAAGATATGATTTGCACACTCTTGGAATCAAAGTAAAAGATGATCCAACGATTGGAAATTACAGTGAAGGAGATATTTTATTAGAAAGTCCCAAGAAGTTTGTGGAAGAGAATAATAAGTTGGGAAGGAACGCGATTCGCCAGATGTACAGGTATTGTAACTGAAATTCTGAAATTATAAATTTCTAAATATTCTAGATTTTTTAGATTTTTGTTTTGAAACTTCCGAACTTAAAAAATTTCTGAAAATTTTTGAAAATTTCGAAAAGTTCAGGAATTCCAACTTTTCAAAAAGAAAGTCAAAATTTTCAGGATATTATAGTTTTTGGGAATTTTCTGAAAATCAAAAAAATCAAAATTTTTCCAGACGTTGGCCAAACGGAGAGATCCCATACACTCTTTCATCTCAATACGGATCGTACGCCCGTGGAGTTATTGCAAATGCCATGAACGAATATCATACCAAAACTTGTGTCAAATTCGTCGCCAGAGATCCCTCCAAGCATCATGATTACCTTTGGATTCATCCTGATGATGGATGTTATAGTTTGGTTGGAAAGTAAAGAGGCGGAGCTTATTTTTTGAGAAAAATAATTTATTTTAGGACCGGAGGAAAACAACCAGTGTCGCTGGATTCTGGATGTATCCAAGTTGGAACTATTGTCCATGAATTGATGCATGCCGTTGGATTCTTCCATGAACAGAGCAGGTACATCGGGATGTTAGGATGCACAGATGGATGATGTTTGGGGTTACTGGATTCTTGGATTTCAAATTTCTAGAGCTCTGAAATTATGTATATTTCAAAATTGTTGAATATCCGGAATGGCTGAAACTTTGAGATTCCTAGTGTTCCAATTTCTGAAATCCAAAAATTCTGAAATTTAGACTTCTCAGATTTTTCCGATTTTCAAAATCTAAAACATTGAAGTTCGGAGAGTTGGGGAATCTGAGATTCAAAAAACTTTAAATTCCTAATTTCTGTATATTCTAGAAATTTGAAATTCCCAAAATCTGGTTTTATAAAATTAAAAAATTGTGTATTTGATTTTTTTTTGTTGAAATTTTAGAGTTTTTCTAGATTTGAAGATCTGAAGTACTGAAATTTCAAGATTAGAAATGCTTTGGGGCCTGAAATTCTAAAAACTTTGGAAGTTTCGGGTCTACAGTACTGACAGCAAAAAATCCATTTTTGACTTTTCATTAAAAAAATGAAGGCCTACAAAAGCAGTTTTAAAATATTCGATTTGTTTGAAAATCTCAGAGTATACTAACCAAAAATAGAGCTTGAGTTTTGTAATTGACGACTTTTTTGCACCTATTTTATTTCTTGAGATATGCGATTTTAAAGACGGGATGCTAGATCACCGAGAGACGCAGACACACCAGGTTATAAAGGCGCATATCTCAACAACCAAAAATAGGTGTAAAAAAGTTTTCAACTATAAAAATGAAGCTGCAATATTGTTGTGCATATTCTGAAATTTTCAGACACAATGAAACATTCTGAAGCCCTTTTGTAAAAGTTCAAAGTTGAGTATTTTCCACAAAAATGTCAAAATATGATATTCTTCCTGTTCTGTATAAAAAGTATGTTCCTAAATTCTGAAATTTCCAGACAAGACCGTGACAGCTACATCGATGTCGTCTGGCAGAATGTGATGAATGGAGCCGATGATCAATTCGAAAAATACAATCTGAATGTCATTTCTCATTTGGATGAGCCATATGACTATGCCTCTATTATGCATTATGGACCATACGCATTCAGTGGATCAGGCAAAAAGACCCTGGTGCCAAAGAAAGTAAGTTCGCTAGTCCGCTCTATTGAACCGTTAGAATTGAAGTTTGAAACAAAACAATTGCAGTCTGGCTCCGAAAGAATGGGTCAACGTGTCAAGTTTTCGGATGTTGATGTTCGGAAAATCAATAAATTGTACAATTGTCCATCTGGGGGATCTTCAAATTCCAATTCCAATTCCAATAACAATCAAATCAACACAAATTCCATCGTCAACAATCATCCTCAGGTTTGAGTGTGCACCACCTACAGTAGTCCCCGAAATGCTAAAAATTAATTAATTAATTTTGAACTCTAAACTGTCGGTCTCTTATCTTTTTTGTTTTGCTTTATTACTAGAGCGATTTTGCTGTGTGTGTTAACTAACCGTGTGCAGTGTTCACTGTTTGCCACACTTGCAATAGAAACGCCTAGACAAGTTTTTGTCCGTAGAGCGCATTTGCTTTCTAACCAATTTTGAAATTTTTGCAGTCTCGATACGCGGGATTGCCTTCTTCTAACCAAGCAACTAACAACAATCGTCGGATGATTCGTATTTTTGGTTAAGTGTGCCGTGATTCCTGTTTTCTGTTTTTTTTTCGTTTGCTGTGCTCCTAAAAAACGGGATTTGATCTCTCATTTTTCTTTGGTTCTAATGAGTTTTTTCTTTTTCTCAGTTTGCCGGTTTTTGTGTTTGTCTGACTGTGTGTCTGTGTGTCCTAATAAATTATTTTCACTTGCTTTTTTAATAGATTTTTTAATTTTAAAAGAGCGCACTTTCAACTAAAAGTCAAAAGTTGAAATTTTAAAAAATTTCAAAAAGTTTGAAAATTTTGTTGTCAAGGTTTTAATAGAGCACACTTGCAATTAAAATTAAAATTTTTTAGAAAATTCGAAAAAATTGAAGAATTTAAACTATTAGTCTTTTCAGGTTTCAATAGAGCGCACTCGAAGTCAAAAGTTGAAACTTATAAAAATTTCGAAAAGTTGGAAATTTTAGGTTTTTTAGGTTTCCATAAAGCACTCTTAAATTCATAGTCAAAAGTTGTAACTTTTGAAAACTCAAAAAATTTTAAAATTCAAATTTCGGTTTTTCAGGTTTCAATAGAGCGCAATTGCAATGGAAAGTCAAACGAAATTAAATTTTTTCGAAAAGTCTAAAAATTTTCTGCTTTATATTATGCTTGTCTGAGAAAAAAAAATGTTAGAGAGTATTTTTTGCAGTCTGAATAAGGTAATGATATCGAAGCGGAGAGCCTAAACAGCACACATACGGTGGAGACGCAGACACTTTTTCTCTGCGTCTCAACCTTTTTTCTCAGACAAGCATAATAGGTTGCAATAGATGGCACTTGCAATTTAAAATTTAAAAAAGGAAATTCTTCTAAAATTCGACAATTTTAAAAAAATTAAAAATTTCGGCTTATTAGGTTTCAATAGAGCACACTCACTTGGGTTCAAGCCAATGGGTCAGAAATCGCGCCCCAGTAAACGTGAGATTTTAGAAAAAAATCGCTGCTGAATTATGTGGCTGAGGATCAAACTTTTAAACGTTGCACGAAAAAATCACGCGTTGCAACTCGTTGATTAAAACTAATTAGGTCAAATCCACGTCAACTTTGAAATTTTTAAATTTCTTCTGGCCTAAAAGTTATTTGGGGCGCGTTTTTTGACCCCTTGGCTTGAACCCAAGTGCACACTTTGAAGTCAAACATTGAAAAACTTCGAAAGTTCAAAAAATTCAAAAAATTAAAATTTCTGGCTTTTTAGGTTTCAATAGAGCGTTCTTTCTATACAAAGTCAAAAAAAATTCAAAAAATCCGAAAAATTTAAATTTTTGAACAAAAATAAAGGATTCTAAAGGATTAAAAAAACAATTCATTTAGATTCTGAAATTCTGAAACTCCTAGAAACTGAAAAAAAAGAAAAAGTATTTTATTACAGAAGAGAATCAAATTTCAAATTTCCCGCCAATTTTCCTTTCGAAATTTTTCCAGACCGAACCCTGCGAAGACTTAACGTGGCGATGCAGATTCTGGTCCCTTTTTTCATACTGTCAACGACGAGAAATTCGAGCGATAATCTGTAGAAAGTCTTGTTCTATTTGTAAATAGCTGTTAGCCTTTTTTTAGAATTTTCTCAGTCCTGCCATTTGTTTCGTTGCCCCTTTCATTCCTTTCAAAAAAATGAACTCTGCTCACTGTCTGTTTCTCTGCGCTCTCTTCTCCTCACACACACACTCTCTCTCTCTCTCTCTCTTGTTCTCTTTTTTGTTTACGATAAACATTTTTTTTCTATGTCCTTGTAATTCTTATTTTCGCAATAAAATTACATTTAAAATCTGTTTTATATTTTCAGACAAATATCATAAAACCAAAAAAAAGAAGAATGTCTGGAAAAAATCGAGTTGCCGCCAATTTGAATATGCTATTCACCCATTTACCGCTGATTCAGAGGTAATATAATTGTTTGAAATCCTGAATTTCTGAAATTTTGAAGTTCTGAAATTTAGAGATTCTGAGATTCAGAAAACCCTAAATTCCTTACTTCTGTATATTCCAGAATTATTAAGTTTTCAAAATCATAATGACAGAAGTTCTGGATTTCAAAGATTTTTGGAATTCCTAAATTCTGAAAATTTGAAATTCTGGGTTTCAATTTTTTTTTCAAGACTCAATACATACATATTTATGAAAAAAAAACAAAAATTAATTTATTCTCCATAGAGCACAATTGTGTTTCCAGATACTCTGCCGCAGCTTCCCACGGATTCAAGATCGTAGAAGTGAGTATTCCATACTCTGAATCTGCCAAAAATCTTCGTGACGCTGCGGACCAAAACAATCTGAAGCACACTTTGATAAATGCACCGCCCGGAAACTGGGAACACGGATTCCGCGGATTGGCCGCATTGAAATCACAAAAAGATGAATTTCGAAACAGTTTGGATACAGCTATCGACTATGCAAAGACGCTCGGATGTACAAGGTAAGGGAGACTGAAATTCCAGATTTCATTTCTAGAACATTTTTTTCAGAATCCATGTGATGGCTGGAATTCCAAAAACCGCTGATGACGTGGCGAACGCTTCAGAAGTCTACTCTGAAAATGTTCTTTTTGCTGCTGAAAAATTCAAAGAGCAGACTTGATCTGTCTAATTGAGCCAATCAATGAATACACAATCCCTGGATATTATTTGAATAATTATGAGGAGGCGGTGAGATTGATCGAGAAAGATCAATCGAAGAATTTGAAAATTCAATATGTAAGGTGTTTCTGAAAAATCTGAGAAAATTCAAAATGTTCAGGACACATTTCATGCTCAACAAATCAACGGTCAGATTGGAGCAACGATGAGAAAATTGAAAGAGCACATTGGTAGGTTTCAATTTCAGTCGGTCAAAAATCGGGGACCGCCGGCCGACCGAAATTTTGCATTTGCGCGTCACCATGCCAGAGAGTGTTTGCGTACGAAGCATCGTGCGTCGTAAAATAAGCTGCTGCGTACGCAAACACGCTCTAGCATTTTGACGCGCGATTGTGAAAATTCGGTCGGCCAGATCGGCAATCGGCTAGTTCCGGATGGAAGCCATAAAAGGGAACTTCTTTAAAATTCATTTTTAGGATACATCCAAGTAGCTCAGGTTCCGGCTCGCGGAGCATGCGATAACCGTGGTGAGCTGGATTACAATTTCGTTTTTGATGAAATTCGAGCGATCGATTCTAACTGGATCATTGGTGCAGAATATGTCGGAAACTCGAACGAGTCGTTCAATTGGGTCGAAAATATGGGATGCAGTTTTTAAACTTTCTTTCAATCTAATAAATTGTTTTGCTATCTGTACCCTGACTCTAAAACATTAAAAAACATAACATTATTAAAATACATAAAAACAAAACAAAACATTAAACTCCAAAATACATCCAAAACATTGAATCTTACGACATTTGAAATTTTCTAGGTTTAGAGTTACTGTAGAAGAGTGGAGAGTAGGAAAATTGAATTTCCCATCAGATTTCACCCTTCGGAGTCTGTTTTCTCCATCATTATCCCGAATTACTGTACCTTGGTGTTTGCGGACACCAGACAAAGACTTTTCCGACACGTCGGCGCGCCGATCGAGTTCTTAAATTTGCTCGTCAACATGCCAAAGAGTGTTTGCGTACTCAGCATTTTATTTTACGACTCATTTTTTGGTTTTGTGCACCACGTACGCAAACACTCTCTGGCATGTTGACGAGCAAATGCACGAACTTAGTCAACTCGGCCGGCGGTTGCTGGTTTTTGGCCGACCTAAATTGAAAAAAATCTGAAAATCAATATCTCGAAAACAATTTCAATTTGAAATTTATTAATTTTTATGCATAAAAAGAGCTACAGTATATTCAAAATACAGTTCGAAGAAAAAAGTCACCCGCTTCGATGGGAATGAAAAGACACGTGGCACTTTGGGGTTAGAAAGGAACCTAATTTAAAGGCGCATGCGCCTTTCAATCAGGAGGAATTGCAAAAATAAGATCATTAGAATGAAGTAAAAGTATAAGGGGGTATCAAAAAGAGAGATCTATTCACGGGTATCGTTGATAATTGACATTCTGACGGTTGGGATTTGACACTGTCTGAGCGATACTGGGGTACTGTAGCTGTGATTGTTGTTGACGGGGATACTGTTGTTGTTGCTGCTGATACTGTAGCTGCTGTTGGTAGTACTGTCGTCGTGGATCATCTGGAGGAAGCTGAGCAATCTGAGCGGCAGTTGGGTAGTAGGGGGCGGAGCCAGATGAAGATGGTGGAGAATACGAATGCACTGCTACTCGTTGGTTTTGTTGGGTCTGATGGTATTGGGGCTGTTGAGAATTGTGATTTTGAGGATGATGGTGGTGATGGTGATGGGAATGATGAATCGGAACTGGAGTAGTTGTAGAAGGAGACTGATAATATGGATTATAGGCAGGACGAGGAGGCGAAGCAGGAGCTGGAGCGGCTGGAGGATTTCCACCGTATCCTCTAGAAGATGTTGGATATTGAGGATATTGAGGTCTTTGTTGAGGTGGTCGATAGGTTTGATATTGATATGGAGTTGGAGTCGTCATTGCTGCTACTACTTCGGCTCGTGCCGCCGCCGCTGCTGCTTCTTCACGTAGCCGTTGACGTTCGAGATTCAAGAGGTGCTCCTCGGCGCGCAGGCGTTTCAGTTCTTGGCGACGGGCTCTGGAAATTGAGACTTGAAGAAAAAGGAGGGGCAAAAGGGAAGTAGTAAACCTATAACTTTTACGAAATTTCAGTAAGAAAAGTATAAGGCTTTTGAGAATTTTTACATTTAAAATCACATATTTATTCACTAAAATTTTTCTCGGAATATTTCTTTGTTTGTTTAGAAGCTTACGTAAGCTTATTAAGCCATATAACGCTCAAGCTTATAGTCAGCTTGATACGGGTAAACTTAATGAGCTTAAGCTTAGGCTCGACTAAAATGAGAATTCTGCCATTTCGAAACAGCTAACCTATCAGACTCATCAGGGATGAAGATGTAACAAAATGTAAATGGAAAAAAGAAAAGCAGTGAAACGTAGATCAATATGTTGATTTAATAAAAACTTCACTGCTTTCCGTTTTTCCATCTACATTTTGTTACATCTTCATCCCTGATGAGTCATGGGGAAGGTGAGAATTTATCGAACCATTTTAAAAAAAGGGAGCAGATCAGAGTTTTCAATGAAAAAAAATAATTTTCTCGAGTTGAACGAGTTTTTCATTGTCAAGTTAACAAATTTGAATTTCTAGAAAAATTCTAGAAATTTTCGATTCGTTTGTAAATTTCAGAGTATACTAATCACAATTAGAGCTTCATTTTTGTAGTTGAAAAGTTTTCTGTAGCTATATTGGTTTTTGAGATAATCGCCTTTGAAGACTGGGTGTCTGCGTCTCGTCTCTCTCGGGGATTAAGCGTTCAGTCTTCAAAGGCGCATACCTCAAGAGCCAAAATAGGTACGTTGCCAATTATGAAAAAAAAGCTCTATTTTTGTTTAGTACACTCTGAAATTGTCACACCAACTGGAAAAGTTTGAAATGCTTTTGTAGGACTTCAAAGTTAAAATATCAATCCCGAATGTCTGGATTATTTGATTTCAAAAAAATTCAAGATTCTGAAAAAAGAAGACTCACTCTCTCTGTGCTTCTTCCCTCCTCAACCGATCTTCTCTTCGTCTCGTCTTCTTTTTCTTATTCTTTTTCACTTCTTCAATCAACTTCTTCTTCGCTACAGCACCAATCTCCACTTTTGCTCGCAAACTGGAAAATTTGAATCTTCAGGATTTTTTAATTGATAGGTCTGTTTTTGAAGATTTGATGAGAATGGGACTTTACTTTAGATTTAATTTCTTTTTAGAACTCTTCCAGAATTCCAGAAAAAGGTTTTCCTGAAGTAAAGTCCCTTGTAAATACTTACTTCGAAATACGATGTGGGTTCGGTGGCTTCGTGACTTGTGGTCGGAAAAGTGGATGGCTGGGCGGCCGGTGGTACATGGTTGCTCCAACCAAATTGGTGACGTCCTGGAAAAATAGTTTTACATTTCTAAATTTTCTGCTAGAATTCCTAGTTCCTGAAATTCAAATCACAGAAAATGGAAAATTACCATTTTTTGAAATTCTAAAAAAAGACTTATAACTTGTCCATTTCTTCTAAAATTTTCAGAGATTATAAACCAAGTATAGAACTCTATTTTTGTAGTGAACAAGTTTTTTGTACAAAATCTTACTAAAGAGATACAGTATCCCACCAAGAGTTTACTAATTTTACTTATTTTTAGTCGAAAATGGTTAAGTTTGAAGCCCTACAAAAGTGTTTTAGAAAGCTTCGATTTGTCTGAAAAGTATTAGAGTATACAGAACAAGAATTGAGCTTTATTTTTGTAGCTGACAACTTTTTGTACCATTTTTAGTTTTTGAGATATGCGCCTTTAAAGACGGGATGCTTGATCACCGAGAGAAGCGAAACGCTGGCACCCAATTTTTAAAGGCACATAGCTCCAAAACTACGGTTGCCACAAAAATGTTGCTAACTACAAAATTAAAGTCCTTAATTTGTTTAGTATACTCTAAAGTTTTCAGACAAATTGGAAATTTCTGGACTACTTTTGTAGGACTTCAAAGTTTTTTTTTCAATAAATACTACTGAAATTATGTGAAAAATGGTTTTATTCAAGGCTTTGTACAAAAATGCTGTCACTCATATACAATTTTAAAGGACTGGACCATGATTTCTCAAATTTTCAGACCCAATGAGCAAGTATTCGGATTTTCTCAGACTTCCGAAATTGCCCAATTGACCATTTTTCTACATATTTTTTGGTCTGTTATGTAGAACCCCTAAAGACTTTGAAATTCAAAAAAAATCCGGTCTCTCCGTTTTTATTGGTTTTCAAAAAAAGTTACATACATTCCCATTCGGAACTCCATGCTTCAATCGATCAGTTTCATGATGAACAACCAGGAAATGACTGGCCTGAAAATTTCTGAAACTTTTCAAAAAAACCTTTTTCGACTACTCACTTTCCGTCGCTTCTTAGTGTTCGGTCCTTTTCTGGGTTTTCCACTCCTTCGAAATTCCAAATACCACGGATTCTCTTCCTTATCTCCATACAAACAACTGGCATATAAATTGTAATAATTCTCCATCATTTCCTCCAAAAACACACATTCCGTTGAGAAATTCGATGACGGTGTTGCATATAATTTTCCAGATGGATCCATACAAACAAAATTCTTTGTCTCCACCCCTCGAATTGATATCAGACTGATTGCAACGGATATGAACTCAACTATACTGTATTTTGAGTTTTCTTCTTTCGTTCCGTGCACTTTTACTTTTGTTGAACCATCTTCTTCGTCCTCGTAGGGTAGTAATTCCAACCATGTGCCAGATCGACAGAATAGAGCACCTCGACGGGGTCTGAAAGGATTTAGATTATTTCAAATCTGAAAGTCAAATACGATTTGTAGGAGTTCTTGCTAAAATCCTACTTTTTAGAAACTCAAAAAGTCCAAAAAATGTTCAGGTTTAAATTTTTGAACAACGCAAATTTGGGAGTTATCAAATTTGAGCCAGTTTATCTCGTTTCTTGTAAAAGATATCAAAAAGTGGTCAACTGACAAAATGTTTACGATAATGTTAGCGATATTTTGTCAGTTGACCATTTTTTGACACCTTTTTCAGGAACCGAGATAAATGTGATTGATAATGTCACACTTATAAACAGTTCGATGGCAGATCATCGGGGGCCGGTCAATGTTTCTTTTAGAATCAAATCTTTTGGACCAACTAAATTAGTTACTATATGAACAAGTTACAAGCCATAAGTGGCTAACCCGCGATCTTCGACTGTTTTCTCGGCCCGTTTCGTCTGTAACTTTGTTCATAGACAAGATACGGTATTCTAAATAGTATCATTTTGTAATACTTATCGACTGCTGTCATAGCCAATAGCCTTTTGAATTACTTGTATGGATGGGAAGCTCATCAGTTTCATTAGAGCCACAAAATAGTAAAAATTCAAAAACTTAAAGTTTTATGAACTACAGAAGTTGATGATGCTTCAATATATTTTGTGAATTATGACTTTAAAATTTCAATTTTTGCAATTAAAAAAAACTCACTCATGAGCGGGCGACAGTCCTTGCTCCTCTTCACCTGCCAGCTGTTTCTGGAATATCGAACATTAAAATGACTTGGCTTATTCATAGATTTGGTCATGGCTTAGATTTTCAGATTTCTCGGTAATTCAAATTTTAGGTAATCTTTAAAATTCAGAACTATTTAAAAGCTCAACGAATTCAGAAAATCCAGATATCTGCCCTAGTTTGTTAACTCCACAACGTCTGAAAATAGCAGAAATTTGGATTTTTGAGGTTTCTTTAGAATTTCAAAAATCTCTAAAACCTAGATTTCGGAATAAAATAAACTGTTCAATTGAAAAATTGTGTCAAAATTCTATTTCTGGAGTTTAGAACATTTGGAAAAATGATTACAGATTTTATCTATTTTTCAAGTCAAAAGCTTTTACAAATTCTAGAAATCTCCAGAATATTTTAGAAAGTATATCTTACCCGAATGCGTTCGACTCTGTACGGTGCACATGTATTGATCTGATTTGTATAAAACGGCGATCTATGAAATCCCTCTAAAAATGGTGGGAGAGGTGTTGTGAAGAAGTGCGAATTGGCTGCTCCACCGTACGAAACTATAGATGAGGCGGCAGAAAAGGCCATATATTCATCTGAAATCAAATATTTGAAATTAATGGGGAAAATTGAAACTTGCAAAAGAAATTTGAGCAAAAAAGTGCGAGTCAACAGTAAAAGGGCAAAGCGGGGTGGGAGCAAAAAGAGAAGAAAAGAGCAAGATTTTCGGAGGAGGAAACGGAGCAAATAAAACGGTACAAACTTCCCTTTTGTGGCACGAAAATGCTCTCGATATGTGGGGGTTTTTTGCAGAAAGATGAAGAGGAAAAGGAAGAAAAAAAAGAGGAGATTGGAATGTAAGTAATGCCTTTAGTTTGAGTTTCTCTGAGAGAGAAAAATGAACAAACAGAATTTCTGAAATTCCAAAATTCTGAAATTCTGACTTTCTGAATTTCTGAAAATAACAGAACTTTAGAATATCAGATCTTAAAAATTCGGTGTTTCAGGATTTCAAAATTTCAGAATTTTGGAACTTTTGATTTTCAGAATTTTTTTCTGAATTTCAAAAATCCTGAGTTTATGAATTTCGAAATTTCAGAATTTAAGGATTTCAGAATTCTAAAATTGCGGAATTCCGGAATTTCAGTTTTTCTGAATTTCTGAATTTCTGAATTTCTGAATTTCTGAAAATAATATAACACCAGATTTTTGAAAATCCTTTAGAACTTTAAAAACTGTGAAAATCTCGTTATTTTGAAATTTCCGAATCTCAAAAATCTAAAATTGGAACAAGCCAAAATAAAGACCTTGGAATTCAGAAACTTTTTACTCTGAGATTTCCGAAAAATCGAGAAAATCCCGAAATTTATGAATCTCAAAAATTCAGAAAATTTCATCAGAAATCTGGAACTTTGTTTTTAAAATGTTTTAATCATATCCCTTGAACCTTAAGATCTCAGAATAGAAGAAATTTCAGATTTTTAGGAATCCTTCAAAATCTTAAAAAATTTTCAAAGGTCGAAAACCCAGAAATCTAAAATTTGGGGTCTTGGAAAAATGGGTCAAGGAATGACAAATAGTAATATTTTTCTTGGGATAGGGAGTAAACAGAACAAACGCCCACTTGTATCCATTTACAGATGTATTACTGAAATTGGAGCCAATTTTTTTTAGAATACTAAATGAAAAATATTTATGAGGTGAACTCTCAAAAAATTATATTTTGGCTATTCTAAAGGGCTCTGGAAGGTTTTGGACTTTCAGGAAGTTCTGGATTCTGGAATCCAGAAGTTGCCGGAACCATAGACGTTGAGAAAACAGCTAGATTATTCTTTCAGAAGGCTCTGGAAGATTCTGGACTTCCAGAAACTTCTAAGACCAAAATTTCTGGACAGCACGAGGATTTCAAAAACATAAAGATCAATTAAATAAAAGAGAAATGGAAGTGCCAACAGAGATGATAATTGATAATCAATGGGGAGGTGATACTAACACAGAGAATCTCCTCCTCCCTCACTTTTCTCATTTTCTCAGAGAGAGAAATCAACTGATGGAGATGAGACAGTTGGCTCCATATCCTCAATGTTTTATCTCATCGCTTACAAAACGACTGATCTCTCTCTCTCTCTCTCTCTCTCTCTCTCTCTCCCTCTCCCTCTCTCCCTCTCTCCCTCTCTCTCCCGAAACAAGAAACTGATGCTCTCGGGTTACCTCTCTCGGCCAGAAACAAAAAAAAATGAGAGGGGAGGGTGGGATCTAAAAGATTCAGAAGATCGAAGAAGAAGACACCGATCCAGTTGTCTTGACATGTCGATAACGAGGAGTTGAATGGGAAACAGCAAAATTTGAGGTAAGGAAGAAGGGGGCAAACATGGGGTCAAACACGATTGAATGGGAAGAGAGAATGGGATGAAGTGGAAGAAGAAATGGATGAGGGTGGAGGATAGAAGAAGGTGTCTAGACTAGGATCTTGAAGGTTCCAGGATTAAGAACGCCTGGAACCTTTTCTGGCCAGCATTTTGACGACCATTCGAGCTATTTTGGCGGCTACACACATTTCCAGAAGCTCAGGATTCTAGATTTGAAGAATTTTGGAGATTCTGAGGATCAGGAACGTCGGAAATTTTTTTCTAATGGAAAATCGTGAAATTTCAACATTTAGACTAACAAACGTTTGAAGAGCCGGAGATTCTGAAAGTTCAAAAACTTTTTCAGATGAACTTTAAAAATTCCAGAATCTTTTAGGATAACTTGGGTTTCCAGAATAATCCAATTTTTACAAGCAATTGTAAATCCCAAAGACTTTTCGAAGAAACAAGGTTTTTGCTCTTTTCCAAGAGATTACTGTAAACACTCTAATAGAAGCCCTCCTCCCCAAATCGTCAACTTTGAGCCCTCATGTCTCATTTCCTGTAAAAGATATCAAAAAGTCGTCAATTGATAAATTACTTATCATAATATTATCAACATTTTATTAGTTGACAAATGTTTGATATCTTTCACAGGAACCAAGATAAATTGACTCCTAGTTTGAATTTAGGGGGTTCTTCTATTAGTTTACGGTATCTTATGAGGCCTTCCAAACTTGAGAATCTCAGAATTATGTTAAATTGGGATATACTAACTTTACAAAAACACTTTTCCGTCTGAATGATTCTAGAAAATTCTGATTTTTGGGTTTAAAATTTGGATCTCTGAAAAAGTCTTTTCCAGTGCTAATACAGTCAAAAAGCACTGAATTGATTCACAAGAGACGGATAATCAAAATCCTCGAAATTCTCAGAATATCAGAATTTTTAAATTTTGGAGTTTCTGAAAATCTTAGAATTTTCAAAACTTCTAGTTTCGAAAATTCTCAATCACAGAATTTCCTTAATTTTGACAGAGTTTGAGATCCTAAAACTCCAAGATCTTAAATTTTTGAATTTATTGGGATTCCGTATTCTTAGATTCTGAAATTCATACATTTCTAGAAAACACCTCAATTCAAAAACACCAAAATAAAATCCCAAGTGTCCACAAAATGAGGTCTTCCCCTCCCTGATGACGTCGTCAACACTTTTTGAACTGTTCCCTATGACATCCTTTTCCCCTTTAATCACTCCCAAGTGACATAGAGCGACTATGGATGAGAACTCTTTGTTCCAGCCAACCAAACAGATGATGATCAAGCAAGAAATAATTGACATGAACTGACAGAAGGAGAAAAAGAGACTCTTCTTGTTTACCAGTGTGTCTGATCAGAATCATCACAAACGAACAAGTTGTAAAAGTTGGGAAGAGCAAAGAAGAGTGTAAAGCTGTCACGAGAACAAGAGGAAGAAGTGGAAGGCCGACGGGATTCAGAAGACGTCAGAATTCTGAGAATCAAACTCTCGAATAATTAATGTCCAAACAACGCATGGAAGCTCTGGAATCAGGAATTCTGTGGAATGGGGTTTTTTCTGAGTTAGGATTCAGGAAAACTAGATTTTGGTCATTGGAGAACTTGAAGATAGTTATAGTCTATTGTTCGGGAATTAAGATTTCTAAAATTCGAAAAAAAATTCAAAATATTAAACGTTGGATGGTAATACATATTCGAAATTTGGGGATTTCACAAAATAGGAACTTCTGATATTCAGACATAATTTGAAAATTTCCGAATATTGGAGTTTCATAGTTTCATAATTTCAGAAAACTCAGAAACTCGGAATTTCAGAATTTCGGAATCTAAGAATTTCGAAATTTCAGAAAATACTAGAATTCTAAACTTTTAAACTATTATATTTTCAAAATTGAAACTCCAATATTCTAAAAATCCTAGAATTCTAGACCTAAAAATCTGATTTCTTCAGAATTTTCAGAATTTTAAGATTTCCGTACTTCAGAATTGCGGAACTACAGAATCTCAAAACTTCGGCATTTCAGATTTTCAAAATTTCCGAATTTTGATTTTTGATAAATAGGCTTTCAAAAATTCAGAATATCAAAATTCTTGGACTTCAAAATTTCCGAATTAAGAGTTTCAAAAATTCCAAAACTGCTAGAAGATTCTCAACAAAGGCTCCAGAACATTGCAAAACTCAAAAAAGGCATTAAAAATTGTCCACTTTCTCTCTTTCTTCTCGAAAATAAGTTTTTCGAAAAACCCCAAAAAGTGGTGGCGACTCTCCCGGGAGACTGATTTGTCACCGCGCTTTTTTGATTGAAACCCTTTGGAGAGAAAATGAGAACAGCAAAAAGAGAGCATTTTTAAGGGAAAAGGAAAAGAAAAACGGGAGAATGACAAAATTTAGGGAAGAGAAAATGAAAAAAAAGGGGAACAGCGAAGGAGAAAAGATTGTAATGAGTCAGCAAAAATGGGGAAGGTTTTCGTACTAGAAACAGCTGAAAACTGAGAAAAGAACGTCTGAAATTGGTTTCCTTTCCGAAAACCGATTTTAAAAAATTTTTTTTTAAAGGTTTTCGCTTCGAAAATAGTTTCCCTACCAGATTGCATCTTTTTAGATAAAAATCAGTGGTGTGTAAATCGGGAGAAAATCGGGTATCAAACCATTCGATATATACCAAATATTTTGGATCAAAACAACATTTTTATTTTTATTATATAGTTCTTAACTGATGATCGATGTTCTGGTAACCTGGAAATGTCATTTTCAATTAGAATATACGGGATTTGATTTGATTCTCAGATTTTTTGAAAATCTGAAAATTGGATCCAGTATTGAAATTTGAGACAGCCAGAATTTTGTGAATAAAAAACCCCAGAATTTCAAAGATTTGCAAAAATTCAACCTTTTGGTCAAAGTTAGAGGCCCGTCTTTTACAGATTTTTTTGTAATTTTCAATTTTAGAAGAGCTAGATTTTCGACTTTAGCAGATTTTTAGAACTTAAGATTTTAAAAAGAAAATTTTATGCTGCTTCGAATGGTACAAAAATCGAGACCCTAGCGGCAAAATGGACAGAGTTATGACCAGTTTTTGTGCTAGTTACGCAGTTAGAATGATCATAACTCGGTTCCTGATAGAGCTCTGATTATGGTACCATTCGAATCAGCGTAAAATTTTACATCTAACACGCCTAAAATCAAAAAGGATAGTTTTTAGCGAAATTCCAAAAATTTTAGAAAAGCTACATTTCAGAATTTCTCAAGACTTTGAATTTAAAAAGAAGCTGAATCTTCAATGTTGGAAACTTTTAAAGTTCCAGAATTCTAACTGTCTCAGATTTTCAGATGTTTCGATTTTCGAGGAAATGGAAGACCCTCAAAATCCAGCTCTTCAAAACTTTTGATTAAGAAAATCCAGAGACTAGGTAAAAATTCTGAACTCAACAGCAAAAAACAACTCAAACTAGAAAGAAAGTCTTGAGATCTACTAGTAGTGAACTTTGAGACTAAAGGGATCTGACTAGAGATCAAGAGGCGCAGAGAAAAATGACAATTGACGTCGGGATGAGCGAAGAAGAAGAGGAAGAAGAAGGAAACTCGAAAGTTTGGTTGTCTCGGCGAGGTGTTGTCCTGGGTGACTATTGCTACGTGGAGTCTAACAGCTGACACTTCTTCTTCTCCTTCTTCTTCTCCAGATAACGTGACGTGGCAAAGAGATTAATGAGAAGAGCGTAGAGTTGGGGGTAAAAAGAAGAAGAAGAGATTGAGAAGAGATTGGGATAAAAGATACGGTATGGTGTATACCACACCCAAGAAGAAGTGATTGATGTCTTCTGAAGAAGGAAGGAAGAATAAGAAGAAAATAAAATAAGAGAAGAAGAGGAAGAAAAGGACATATGCAAATTGAATGTGTGGTGGTCAATTCACAAAATGAGGGAAATAGTTCAAAAAACGAAATGAAAAGAAAAGTGTGAATTGATTTTTTGGTGTCAGAGGATTCTATTTTTAGGATATTCGGAATTCTTTGGATTCTTGGGAATCTTAAAATCGGAGACAGTTCAAATCACCGAGGTTTGGAACGCGTCGAAGGCGCCCCAGTCAAGCTAATTTGAATTCAAAATCTTATAAATTTCCAGATTTCAAAATCTAGATTTTCTAAATTTGGGAATTCCAAAAATTCCCAGTTTTTAGAAACTTAGGGCCTCCAAACTTTAACGAAAATTTATCTCGGATCCTGTAAGAGATATCAGACAGTTGTCAACTGACAAAATGTCTTTGATATTATGATAAATATTTTATCAGTTGACAACTTTTTGATATCTATCAGAAAATTAGATAAATTGGCTTAAAGTTGGTAGCCCTGGATTTGAGCTATTTAATTTTTACTATTTAGTTTTGTTTTTTTGCTGAACCAAAAATTCTGATATCGTAGATGAAAATTTTTACTCAAAATGTATGATTTGGGGCCCCAGAAACCGTTCGAAATGCAAAAATCTCAAAATCTGAGACAATTAAAATTTTGGAATCGTTTGAATTGGCAACTTCCCCTTTTGAAGATTCAGAATTGTTCGATTCATACCTTGAAAAATCTGAATTTCTCATATCTGGTTTTCTTTCAAAATTGTGAGCAGTTTATGGATGTCCTAATTTTCAACAATAACGCTAACCTCTAGTAGAAGGGTCCCCAACATTGACCAAATGTATCTCGGTTGTTTTGAGAGGTATAAAATTTTTGTTAACTGATAAATTACTGTTGATGTTATGATAAACAATTTTTCAGTTGACCACTTTCTAGTATATTTTACAGGAAACGAGATAATTGTACTCAAAATTGACAGACTCAGATTTACGAAATTCCAAGTTCAAAATGAATCATAATTTTGAATATTTAAAGCTTTTAAAAGTTGAATTCATAAAAATTTTGAATCTCTGAAATTTCAAATTCTCAACATTCTGTACTTTTCGATATAGAATTCCGGCTATCTCAAAGTCTAAACTTTTCAAAAAAAAAAGGAAAAAACTAAAAATAATAAAATTTGGATAGTGGACTGATTTTCAGATTCGCCGAAATTCTGAAAATTCAAAGAAATAGGATGAACCATATTCAAACAAAATGACACAACATCTTTTTTTCGGAACTTTGATCCTTGATGGGGTTATTCATTAGTATTTCTTTGCATTTTTACCAAAGAAAAACCCCATGAAAAAACCTACCGTAACCCTGACCCAAAACCCATTATCCCCCTCCCTCTAGTTCAAACTTCACTTTACAGCCAAATTTCTCTCTTTATCTCGTCAAAAAAAAGGGGAGAGGAAGAGGAGGAATAAATACTTATAATAAATCAAGTTTTCTCATTTTGTCACTCACTACTCAACCTCCCTTTAAACTCTTTCTATTTTTCTCTTTCTCTCTGGATCACTGGAAAACGAAACGAGTAATAAATCAATGAATGTTTTCACGAACCGCCGAGAGAAGAAGAACCTTCTGGATCTATTGGGGATCGTGAAATCCAAAGGGACCATCCGATGCCACCCGGTCAGTCGGATTTATTTCATTCGGAGGATCGTAAAAACACTGGAAAAGCTGAAGTTTCTAGGAGATGAGAAGAGCCTTAATGATTATGTACTTTTCTTTCAAGGATCATAAAAAAACTGCAGATGCTTTAAAAAAAGAAAAATCTAGGGAGTAAAAATAGTTGCTTAAAGGCTGGAAGATTCTGAAAAAATCAACATTCTGAAAATTTCGATAATTCAAGATTTTGAGATTCTAATACAGTTTCGGCATTCTGAGAATGATCATGTTTGGAATTCCAAATGGCTTCAAATTTTCTAAATTAAAAGATTTCAATTTTTTTTTCGTGAAATTTTTGAGGATTTTGGATTTTGAGATAATAAGATTTTGAATTGCTGATAGTGAGACGGCTTTGGCATTTTGAGATTCTGAAAGTTGGAAACACTGAGATTCCAAACTTTTCTCGAAATTCTAAAATTTTAAAAACATTCAAATGTTGAAATTTCCAGAAAAAGTAAATACTTGAATGCCACAACTTGGAAAACAGTCAAATATGAAAATTTTGTCTTACAAAATACCATGTAAAAGATATCCAAAGTGTTTTAACTGATAAAATATTGATAATATTATGATAAATACCGTAAACACTATAATAGAACGCCACCCGGACCGTCCACTTTGAGCCTATATATCTCACTTCTTTTGAAAGATATCAAAAAGTTGTCAACTATTAAAATGTTTATCATGATATTAGCAACATGTTATCAATTGACCACTTTTTGATATCTCTTACAGAAAATGAGATACACGGGCTCAAATTCGAAGATTCGGGTGGCGTTCGATTAGAGTGTTTACGGTAATTTGACAGTTGAAAAAATTACAATACTTTTTTACAGAAATCGAGATAATTGAGCTCAAAGTGCTTCCAAAAATGAAAAAAAAACAAGATTCTAGGTTTCCAAAAAGAACCCAAACTAAAGTCTCTTACAAGCGACTTCTAAAAACTATGTGTTGTTGCAATTTCTTCAAAAAACTGTCAACGGTTTCTCTCTCTTTTTTCTTCAATTTTCGGTTGTATAACACGGTTTTTATTTTTATTTTGTTGCGCAGAGAGTGGAGGACTAAACCTCCTCTCGCTTCAATATAAATTGTTTTATGACTTTTGAAATGGAGGGACAAAAAATCGGTTTCTGGGGGAAAAAGAGAATCAGATGAGTGGAGGAAAAACAACGAATTGTATTCTTTGATTGTTCTTCGGGTTGAAATTCCAGAATTTCAGAATTCCAGTGTTTCAGAACTTCTGAATTTCTGAATTTCCGAATTTCTGAGCATCTGAATTTCAGGATTTCAGACTTTAATAATAACAAAAATTCAGAATTTCGGATTTTCAGGTTTTCAGATTTGACAATTCACAAGTTCAAAATATCAGAATTCCGAGATTATAAGATTTCAAAATTTCAGGATTTCAGAACTTAAGAATCTCTTAATTTCAGAATTTCAGAATTTCCGAATTTCAGAATTTCAGAATTTCAGAATTTCAGAATTTCTGAATTTCTGAATTTCTGAATTTCAGAATTTCAAAATTTCAGAATTCCAGAATTTCAGAATTTCAGAATTTCAGAATTTCAGAATTTCCGAATTTCAGAACTTCAAAATCTTGGAATCTTAGAATTCTAGAATTTCAGAACTTCCGAATTTCAGAATTCCAGAATCTCAGAACCTCCAAAGCAATACTGAAAAAAAATTCAACAAGGAAGAACATTCTGCATTTTTTGATCCAAAAAAAAGGAAAATTTTTGAAAATCAAATCAGAAAAAGAAGCAGAATAGAGCTCAATCAGTCCCAATGACCCCAACTTTTTAGTTTTTAGTCGGCGAGACGATTTGGCGGGAAATTGAATTTTGGTTCGCCTTTTTTTGTTCTAGGAAGAAAACGGAAATTTTAGTTTTTTTTTGGATGGATTTGCAACAAGAAAAAAATTCAGTAGGAAAAATTCAGAATTTTATACATCAAAATCTTTTGGTGACAGAATAAAATGGGAAATTGAATTCCAGAAAATTATGGAACACTACTATATAGCCGGATTTGGCTCTTCTAGAATTTTCCAGAAAACTTTCAAACTGAGTAGTTTGGTCCAATGGGAAGGAGGAGACACTAAATGATAAGTGAAGTGCCAATTGTCGCGTTTTGATTAGAGATTGGAAGAGTGAGAGAGTGTAGGGAAAACAAGAGACGCAGAGAAAATGAAGAGCCATGAAGATATATGTGACGTCAGAAGAAGAAGGTATAGGGAAGAAGAAGAAGAAATGATACACGCGTCAATTTGACACCAGATGATTTGTTTTCTGGTGTTGTCTTCACTCCTGGTTCATCGAGACAGTGGTGACGACATGGAGGATTTTCTGGGAAAATGAATTGGGTCAAAGGTGCAGTGCCTGGATTATAGGGAGTCAGGAGTCTAGGAAACCATGCGTTTGAAGGATTTGAGGATCTGATGGATCTTGTAGAATCATGATTCTGTGAAGCGTCAACTACATTAACCTAAAATTTCATCATTTTTTAGATTTTTTACCGTAAAACTGTACTAGAAGCGACGGCTCTTCTATTATTGCAAGGTACCTCTGGAGGGCCTTTCTATTATAGGGACCCTTCTATTTTTCCGGTCATTTTAAAAATGTTTTCTTTCAAGCATCTGTAAATTTTGGAATTTCCGGAAGATTTTTCCATGAAAACGTACGGGAATTTTTAATTTCATACAACACATTTCGAAGAAGGCCCTTCTATTACAGGGTGCCTTTCTGTCTTTCCAAGCCTTTCTCGGAGTGTCTTCTATTAGAGGGACTCTTCTATTATACTGGCCCTTCTAATACAAGTTTTACGGTATATCTATTTTCATTGATTTTCGGCGACTTCTTCTGAATTTCCCTTAAAAATCAGAAAGTTTGATAGTGATAAA